GTTAAAAATGTGGGATATATATATGATTATGAATGCATATTTGTGAACATCTATATTCAAGTTTAAGAATTATTTATACCTTTTGACATTTGTTGTTTCTTTAATAATTCTTCTTCTAATCTTCAAGACTTGTAACAAGGTTTTATATGATATTGATAAACTTTTTGCACATCCTTTGAATGTTGATATCCATGTTGTCTTCATCAAAACCAATGCTTTAAACATGACTTGAGAAGCTTGTAATTACAACTCCATTCTCCACTAACCCTAAGCTTGGAGTAAGAAAGCGCATCCATAAAAAGTACATTTGTCCTTTGTTGTATTTTTACACAAAGAACTGTATAGATGGGCTAAAACAGCAGAACCCCAACTATACTTTCTTGTTTTTCCAAAGTTTCTAAGTAAACTTAAATACATAAAATTTACAATGTCCTCTTTATTTTTGGGAAATAACAAGCTTCCAAATAGTATCATCATATAATTTCTAACTTTTATTATTCTTACTAGCTCAGACGAATTTTCATTCAACTCAAGAGTTGCATAATGTTTTTTGAGTTCGGTTAGTAATATACCTTGGCCTCTAGCACCACTACCTTCTACCATATTTTTGCCCAACAATTCCTTGCATAGAGAATTGGGTTGTTGAACCGATCCATTAATTTCCTTACCATCGATAGGGAGATCCAATAACATGTACACGTCCTCTAGTGTGACGATACATTCAGCTATTGGTAGATGAAATGTTTGTGTCTCGGGTCTCCGCCTTTCCAACATTGCAAGTATAAATTTGGAATCAATCATGCAGTTTGAGATTTTTATAACATTTCAAAAACCCGCATATTCGAGATAGGGCACGATCAACGGGTCAGGAGTAATGTAGTTGTGTGAGCGAATTCTAAATCTTTTAGCATCCTAAATTCAAAATGTAAATAGTATAAGAATGCATAAGATGACTACTTGAATAATAATTTTATAAAAAATATGTTAATATACAAGAATATTTAAGAATTTATAGAAACTTACAAACGCCGCAATGTTGTCTCTTGTGCCTATGTGAGAATCGCCCATTGTGAGAAGAGCCATATTTGAAATTGTATAAGATAATGAAAGAGTTTGTATCAGAGAGTGAGATGGTTGGTGATGCAAAACAAGTTTATCATGCGCCATATTTATAGGCGAAATCGTATAAGAGTGAATTAATGAAGTGGTGAGTGGTTGCATGCATGCATGATACGTGTCACTCATGTGCCAAGTCAAATGGCGCCTACATGTAATTTAAAGAGCATGCGTCATTCAACTTGGCGTGGGACATGCCTACTTGTAGAGTAGGTGGCAGCATAGGGACGGGCTTTTGCGCATGCATGTAAAGTGATAGGACATGTAGGAATGTGCCATTTGACTTGGCACATGAGTGCAAATTTGAAAGGTGTCGCCATCTCACCTGGAGAATTAGTGGTGGAGCATCTTTATCTTGTTCAAGTTTAATGAAACCTATTTATCCTACATGCATCTAATGTTATCAACATTCAAACATTCAAACATTCAAACACTCAAACACTCAAACCTTGAAACACTCAAACATTCAAACACAATGTCATCTACACCTCAATACGTTATCAGTGTAAATTTCAACGGTGAGACGTACATTTGTCCCACCTCTGGGTTTTTATTTAGAGACACTCAGAACATCCGATTTTGTTTAAACAAAAAAGTAAATTTCTTGTATTTCAAAAAACAATTAGAGGTCAAACTTTGATGAGGTCCAGTCACACACATCTTCTACCAAAATCCAGATTTTTTTGTGAGAACCAAATAATATTTTATAAGGTAGAGGTTCAAGATGAAGAGGACCTTTAAAATATGTTTTCCAGTCATGAGTATTCTGGGTACGACTCGATTGAGTTGTACATTATGTTGTGGGAGCCTCCGATGTCACGACCAACTCAGTCACAAGTGGTTGATCCTCTTGAAGACGAACAAGCAGAAGTAGATGTCGTTGACGAAGAAGAGGGTAATGAAGAGTTAGAGTTTGACGACATGGTTAACGATGATTCTGGAGATGATGATCAACCTGAAATACCTCCGAATAAGATCTACACACCACCTTCACACATGAAAAACTTCAACATGGACGGAGATGAACTGTCATCTGATGTTTTTTTAACCCGTATATATAGTCGGATGAAAATTTAAAAGAGAAAGACAAATTTCGTAATAGAGAAGATTGTATGCGAGCTATAAAAAAGTTTCACATGCTAAACTTTGTCGATTTTAAGGTGGATCGGGTAAATCCAGAAAGGTACAAGATCAGGTGTGTTTACCTAGATTGTATGTTCAGACACACTGTATCATACAGGTTGAAAGGTAATTGTTGGGTGATAGGTTCTATGTCCACCCACACGTGCGTCAATTCTACTCAATCACAAGATCTAATCTGTCAAGAAATCCCACCTCTCGTCAACAATGATCCCTCATTGAAGGTGAAAACCATAATCTCTCACATCACTACGGTATACAATTATACTCAGTCATACATAAATGGGTGGTTAGAAAAGACCAAGGCGATTGAAAAGGTATACAGAAACTGGGAGGAGTCATACAAAGAACTATCGCGCTACCTGCATGCACTTCAGGCATATTCTCCTGAAACTGTTTATATTATGGAAACATTACCGGCGTACACCCCAGATGGTACTCATGTCGATGGAAATGGGATATCCAGTCGACTGCTCTGGGCTTTTTAATCTTGCATCACAGGATTTACGTCATGCAAACCAATTATTCAAATAGATGAAACATCATTGTACGGGAAATATAAAGCCCGCTACTGATAGCAGTTGCACAAGATGGTAACAACAACATTTTCCCAATTACCTTTGCTCTAGTCAAGGGGGAGACTGGTGGTGCTTGGAGTTTCTTTCTCAAGAATCTCCAAACACACGTGGCTCCTCAACCTGGTCTTTGCTTGATCTCCGACATACATGCATCTATTGAGAGTACATACAATAATTCTGCAAATGGTTGACATGATCCTCCTTCTACGCATGTCTACTGCATTAGATATATCGTACAAAATTTCACGCGGGAGATCAAAGACAAGGTTCTTACGAAAACGTTATGAACGCGGGGTATGCATTAACACAACCTTCGTTCAAACACTACCCCAACGAGATCAGATTGTCAAATTCAGATGCAGGTAAGTGGATTGATAATATTCTAGTGGAGAAATGGACAAGATCATACGATAATGGACAACGATGAGGACAAATGACAACAAATCTTATCGAATCAATAAACGGTGTATTCAAAGGCATACGAAACCTCCCAGTAACCTCTTTGGTAAAATCAACATATTTTAGGATGGCTTTGTTGTTTTCTAAAAGAGGTGAAATGTGGAATGCGGTCTTACAATCAGGACAACTATGGAGTGAAAGCTGCATGAAATATATTAAGGCAGAAAGCGCCAAAGCCAACACCCATCTTGTTATAAAGTTTGACCGACATAGCCACAACTTCATTGTCAAAGAGACAATCGACCACAACGATGGGCTGCCAAGATAAGAGTATAGGGTTATACTACCATCTCGTTGATGCAATTGTGGAAAGTTTCAATCCTTTCGTATGCCTTGCTCTCATGTCATTGCGGAAATGTGCGTATACTCATCAAGATGTATTACTACTTTTATCTCCCATTTACAAGTTTGAAACCTTGCTCAACGTATACAACAATTGCTTCTCAATGATAGCGAAACCTGATTATTGGCATGCATATGACTGAGAAATAGTATGACACAACGATCAAATGCGAAGGAATAAAAAGGGTCGTCCCAAAAGCAAGTGTATCACAACTGAAATGAACTCACTTTACAAGCTAGAAAGAAAGTGTGGTTTATGTTGTCAAGTCGGAACAATCGAAAGAATTGTCCAACTCGGGCTACAAGCTCGACAACATAAAAATTGTATGGAAACCATCTGCACTTTTTAAGTTCTAAACATATATTTTTTTTCATTAAGAGCATTTGTTACAACAAAACATACGCAAACAACAAATAAAAACACGATAAAACGTCTAAGAAATTACGACTGTCAAAACAATTTTATCTGAGTCATGCATCATCACCGTTACGTCTATGTCTATTTTGACTTCCTCCAACCAAAATTGAGTTCTTCCAGTTGCAAGCAACGTGGCTGTTCTTCTTCTCTGTATCCTTCTAATTTGTTTCTCAGCCTCGATGTCTCCCTCTAGCCATCACATCAACTCTCTCTTCAGACGCTCCATTGAGTGAATATGTCAAAATTTCATTTTCATCGGAGGTTTGATGATCGAGAAAGTAACGTATCCATCTTTGATGAAAATCATGGGAGATATCATGACGCAAGTAACAAAAAAAAATAATAAGACTGTGTAAAAAAGTGTGAAGAATGATGGAAAAATGAGTGTTTTATTTATAGAAAACACAATTGCACGTAGTAGTCATCTCAAATGGCGCCTCATCTCATTTTTAAAGTGCATGTGCCATCTCATTTGATTAAAACAAAATTCATGTGCCAAGTGAGATGACGCCTAGGACAAAAAGGTGAATGCATGCGTCATCTCACTTGGCGCCTCCATAGTGAAGTTTTCTGAAACATAGTTATTTGTGTAATTTTCTTCCAAACATGATTATTTGTAAAAAAAAAGTATACTTGATTATTGCCAACAAAAAAAATCTATTTAAGTATTATAATTCAAATTAACCGCTGTATTTAGCAATAGCATGGTCATGACATGCTGCACTATTCATATTTGGAGATTCTCTATTTGATAATGGAAACAACAATTACATCAATACAACCACATATTATCAAGCTAATTATCCTCCTTATGGACAAACTTTCTTCAAATATCCTTCCGGCAGGTTTTCCGACGGACGCATGATACCGGATATTATCAAGCTAATTATCCTCCTTATGGACAAACTTTCTTCAAATATCCTTCCGGCAGGTTTTCCGACGGACGCATGATACCGGATATTGTTGGTAAGCATGTATTTATTTTGTTGTGCTACTATATAGACTCAAACTATCCTCTAAACACGAATGGAAGTTGATTCGTTTAGTAAGAAATTGACTTGCAATAACGTGAGTTAAACTTCTTTTGAATCTTGATGTTTGCTCTAACTCTGATGAGTCGTTCAGCTGAATATACCGGGTTGCCTTTGCTCCACCATATTTGCATCCGGGTCACCCTGAATATATCTATGGAGTTAATTTTGCTTAAGGGGATCTGGTGCACTCTCTCAAACATCTCAAGGAAGTGTAAGTTCATCTTTAAATTCATTAGTTATTGTCCCGTTAAAACAATTCAATTAATAGTTGTATATGAATATCAGATACATTGACACAAGTTTGAACGCAGGACTTCTCAATTATTCACTTTTAAAAAGTGTATTCCAGTTACTAAGCTACTTGACCAAAAAAAAATCCATTGGTTATTATTTTACATATATGCTAAATTTATGGTCGTTAACATATAGGTGATAGACTTGAAGACTCAGCTGAGTTATTTAAGAAAGGTAAAGAAATCATTCAGAGAGAAACTTGGACATGAAAAAACTGAGGAATTGATGTTCAAATCTTTGTACTTGTTTAGTGTTGGAAGCAATGATTGTGGCAGTCTTCTTGAGCCAAACTCAGGTGTTCTTCTACATGTTGATCATCAACAATTTGTTGATATTGTCATTGGAAACTTCACAAATGTCATCAAAGTAGGTCAAGTTTTATTAAATTATTTTTTAATAATGATTAAATATCCTAGTTTTATAAGATATTAAATACTAATTTTGTGATTTTTTTTAAAGGAAATTTATGACCTAGGTGGAAGGAAATTTGGGTTTGTTAATGTAGGCCCTAGGGGTGTGCATTTTAACCGGTTCATCCAATCCATAACCATAAAATTGGTTTCCAAATATAAAAAATTCAAATCATTTGGTTATTAACTAACCCATTCCATTTAAAGAAAAACCAATAACATTGGATACCTATTTTATTGAAATTCAGTTATTGTTCCTGATCCAATTTACTAATTTACTCAAATATTAAAAGTATCTCTCTAAATTTCCAACATAGCTAAAACCGAACCATTACAAATTGAATACCTAGAATGACAGTTAATTTTTTCTTAGATTCCAACATTAAATATATTACAATAAATATTATTCTTTTAGTTTTAAAAATACACTATAATATATTTTACGTGCAAATGTGTTTGAATGACAACACAATAATGAAAGTTGAGTTTTTATCAATCTAAGACATGAATCTCCATTTTGAAATTCAACTTTCATAATACTATAACCAAATTTCAATTATATATACAACATCAAACACCAAACCTACTTAATAAAAACTCTTCACATATCGAATATTATTAGAAAATAAATAACACAGTAAAATAAAATATGTTGACTGAACCTTCCAATATTTTCCAGCAAAGTATGCATAAAAGTTTCAAACCGATTAAGCAAAAAAAAAAAAGATTAAAACAAAAAATTGATGTAATTAATTTTAAGAAAAACCAATCTTAACTGAATCAAATAAAAAACAGGTGGTTAGTAGAAACCGGTTTTAAATTGAATCAATCCAAATATAAACCAGTTTTGAAAAAATAATTCGGTTTTACAAAAACAGTTTTTAAGAATTAAATCAAACCATATATTTGATTCAATTCGGGTTGATTTGACAACCATGCACATCCCTACTTTAGCACTCATTTTTTATTATTATTTATTTTTCATAATTTCTCACGAGTTTGACGGGTGGCTGAAGACATGAGACATGAGAGATTCTTTTTCCAAAAAATAAGATTAAGTCTGATAATTTAGAGAAGATGATGACCTAATTCCCTCTTGCGTTGTTTTATTGTTTTATGATTTTCTCTTAATTATCTCAAGTATATATACACTATGATGCCTCAGGTTTTTCAAAATAAATCCATCAAAAATCTGTGATTGTGTGTTTGTGGTAGTTACAATATGTATCATGATAATGGATCTACATTTCTTTTCCAAAATAATGAGAAGCTATAACAACCTTGAAAGAGATATTTGGACAAAAATCAAAATAGATATATTTTTTTAAATTAGTGTTTTTAACATAAAATAATTTTAGAACTTTTAAAAATAAAAAACTATTTTTGATATAAAACTTTATTTTTTTAAATTGGTTTTAAAACTGTTTTTTTTTTTTATAAAATTGATTTTGAAACTGGTTTTTTATAAAACTGTTTTGAAATTGATTTTTTTTTTTTTAAATTAAAAATTGGTTTTTAGAAAAACCGGTTTAAAATTGTTTTTTTTTTTAAAACTGGTTTTTATGAGAAACCGGTTCAAAACCAAACCGATCCACATATAAACCGGTTTTAGAAATATAAACCGGTTTTAATGAAGTGGTTTTAAAATCCAAACCAAATCATATATATGGTTCAATTTGGTTTGGTTATTGATCCATGCACACCCCTAGTAGGCCCTATAGGATGCTCTCCAAGCATAAGAATATTGGTAAAGAATGGAAGAAAAGATGAATGCTTAGAAGAAATTTCAGAAGTGGCAAGACTACACAATAAGAAACTCACGAAAATGGTTCAGAAGCTAGAGAATGAGCTAAAGGGATTCAAATATTCTATCACTGATTTCTACAGTGCACTTTCTCAAGTATTGAAATACCCTTCAAAATATGGTATTCACTCGTGCAAACTAATAATTTATTATGTGCTCCATTAAGCCGATTCAGTTGATAGTTATGCGGAAACATCTGGACGCGGGTTGTGATTTTTATTTGTGAGCATGTATATTGTAATCATTGCTAATTTATGTTTGTTTCTTTGGAAAGGGTTCAAAGAAGCAAGTAGAGCATGTTGTGGAAGTGGCCCTTATGAGAAGACAGTTGTGGAGGGAACAAAGGGATAAAAGAATATGAGTTATGTGAAAATGTGAATGAACATGTGTTCTTTGACTCTCATCATCCTACTGATAAGGCTAACCAGTATTTTGCCAAATTGATTTGGAATGGAAATGGAAATGGAAATGTCACAAGGCCTTACAATCTAAAACAACTATTTGAAATTTGAGTCTTGTACCAAAACAAAACAATGTTTTCTTGTTTCGAGATAGAAAGAGTAAGAAAGCATAAGAATTTCAGAACTCTGATGAATCTGATGGATATTATTACAAACTAGCAATGTATAACAATGTAAACAAGTTCAGCGCCTTAGCCATAATAAGTTGATAGTTGTTCAGTAAGACACTTAAAAGGCTAAGATATGTCGTTTAAGACGTTTAACTAACAGAAGGTTTTAAACCAAACCAACAAAGAAAAATGTGTCTGATCTGAACAATTGAAATCTTGGCAATTGCACCAGACAACATGCGAAATTATGCTAACCAGATCACAAACACTTGATAAATTGATCAAAGAAAAGGATTGACTTTGCACGACTAGGATAACTTTCTCAAACACCTGGTTTTATTCATCCTATAATTTCAAAGCAGTTGACCATGTACCTTGCACACTAGGGTGTTTGGTTACATGCCTTGTCCTTAGTTTTATTACTTTCCTTCCCAGTGCATTCCTCAGCCTGGTAGCATGCAGAAGTATCTCTTCCGGGTCCATATTCTTCACACACACCACTCGATCGTTATGGTTCTCTGCTTTGCACAAGAGAATCATTGGTTACAATTACCAAAAGAAAAAACTTAACGACAAAGTTATGAGTGAGCCCGGGAATCTTACTGTAAAAAGCCTTCAGATGTGGATGCTGACCACGAATCATTTCAGTGGCCACCTCTAACTGAGGATTTGACTCCTTAAACGCTGGCATATGCGACTCCATAAATGCCCTATCATATATTGTAAACTAAAAGTAAGAATTCCATGTACAAAGCAAGACATTGAATATGAAAAAAAGATTATTCATAGCATACTCCACGCCATTAGTACTAAGTAAAATGCAAGCAGAAGATGCATTGTGATTATCAAAACATAAGAGTAAGTTTAAACCTTATCTCAAACTTTCTTTGTTAAAAGGTTTTTATTTGAGGTGACCTAAAGTCGCAGCCAATGAGGCAAAAGGAAAAACAAATGCCATATACAAAGCTCAGCTATGAAGCACAAACATCTCTAAGACTAAGCGTTTTACACATGTGTCGGTGTCCAACACTTGAATGACACCCGTAAGTCACTAGTTGGAAATGTCAGACAAACTACAAATGTCATAAAGCTCAGAGTGTGTGTGTCATGTTCCAGTGTCTGTGTCGTGTTCCAGTGTCCGTGTCAGCGTGGGTGTCCTAGGTTCTGAGCATTGCTCTTAAAAACTATAAAGCATGAAGGGGAAAAAAATCAAGAAATCAGTAAAAGCAAGAAAAAAACTAATTTTGCAATTCATATAACTTTTCAGTCCAAAGAGAATAGGTTGAAACTTAAACTCAATATGAAGTTCAGTTGTTAAACTATAATAGCATACCACCTAGATTTATAGAATAAAAAACAAGCACCGAATAATGCAAAAAAATGCAGAAACTTAAAAATTTACAATAATTCATATTGAATTTATTCTTACTATAATGCGGAAACCTTATTACTTATACATGAACATGATTTGAAATTGGACATAAATCAAAATTTGAATAAAAGCAAGAAAAAATCAATCATTTTCCTAATAATTCCACAAATCAAAGAAAAATAAAAACATGATGGTTCCTGAAAGCACAAATCGATGAAATGAAAAATTTAAGAAGGTAAAGTGATTGTTGTGTGTATATACCTTATACCTTTGCTACTTCCACCCCAATCGCTGTAGCTAACAACAAGCTTCTTCAGTTGCCAAACTCCTCGCAGAGCCATATGATCGTAAAATCCAGTGGGCGGTGGTGGTGCGGCGGATGGCGGTGGACGGAGAGGGAGACGGAGGCTCTGTGTGCTGTACCGTGTCTAGGGTTCTAACCTTTCAGCGTGCGTTTTACTAGTGAATAAGTGGTGAAATTTTCCCTATTTTTTAATCAAAATAGTTTTAATTTTAAATTAAAGTTTAAAACTTTCTCTATTTCGTTTTGATTTTTTTTAATGAGAGTGAGGGTAAGAAAAAACTACAAAGCAATGATTTTAGAGGAAGATATCTATCTAAAATCATCCTAAAGCTATTCAATAAAAAAAAGAGGAATACAATAAAACTCCTTAAGACCTTCTTGTAAACTTATATCAACTCTAGCTAACACATTGGCACAACCATTAGTCTCTCGAAAGGTATGAACCAAATCACAATTATTAAATTTGAACATCAAGTCATGAATTTGAAGAGCTAAACTGGAGCTATCTTGTTGCTTTAGGCCAACACGATTAATAATATCTATAACTTATTTTGAATCTGTATTAACTTCCACCATCTTATAACTCTGTTGCAAAGTCAAATTGATGCCTTCATAAATCCCCCACAACTCAGCAATCAAAGCATTCCCACGCCCAACAAACTTCACAAACCCAACAATCAAGTTTCCTGTAGCGTCTATAATAATCCCACCACACCCAGACAACTCATGCTTATCTCGAGCGCCATCGACATTCAGCTTGACAAAACTAATTTGAGGACGACACTAGTGAATATTCTCCATCTTCTTCTCCATGTCCAACACTTTATTCCTCACCCTCATGGCATCCATATACTCCTTAACCCTTCCATTTATGATTCTCTCAGCATGAGGAGGTCTCTCAAAGTCTTGCACATGCATCTCCTTGTTTCTCCATGTCCACAAAGTATGACAGCCTATAGCCCAATAGTTGCACTAGTCAATCTCCTCATGAGCAGCCCCCCAAAATGTTAAGAATTATCCAATTTTGAAGGTTAGTCTGATAAAACTCCCGAGCTATGCAGAATGGAACCTTGTTATCCCACACTAACCTAGAAAGCTTACAATCCCTCATGGCGTATAAAGAAGTTTCACTCACATGGTAGCAAAACTTGCACCCCGCATCACCCAAACCACAAACACTTTTCCTATAAGTCGTGATCATTTTGTCATTGTTGTACCCCAAAATTTGCCCTCCCTTTCCTTTAAAAATTCTCTTCTAGGGGTTTTCAAGATGTTCAAAGCTTTTCAAACCTCCAAACATGTTAATTAATTCATCAAGGGTTCGATTTTGAAAAATGCTCAAAATTTCTCCTGTCCATTGGTTTTGTACTAAGGTTTTGATTTTTGAGTGTGTGACACCTGTTGTAATCAAGAGACATGAGGCTTTATCTTCTTTTCATTTTTGATCAAAGGTTTCTCCCTCATGGAATTAGGGTTTCAAGTTTGGGATGTCATTGATCATAAATTAGGGTTCCTATGGCTGGCAATGGCTCTCATTTCGACTCAAGTTTGGGTCAGCTAGTTCCTTATTAACTTTGGTTTATGGCGCTAAGTGGATCCGGTTTCTCATCTGTGGTGAACGAATTTGTTTAGTATTCTGTGCCAGGATTTCTCTATCCTTTAAATTTATCTTTATTCTTAAGGATATCCTTACGGATTGAGCCGTGGATTAAGATCTCGTCAAGTTTTCATCTGTTGAATTGGTGCTTCAAACGTAAGAAGATTTAGGTTGATGGATTCTGTTGAAGTTAAGGGTCATTGATCAGATATGGTTTATGAGGAATATATTCTTCTATGTGCTTTGGCTCGTTAATTCAAGAACGGACAATGCTAAGATTCATTGCAAATTCATAGTTGGTGGCATTCGTTACACCTTTTCAAGTTCACTATCTCATGTTCACAATTCTAAATTCGAGGGATCAAACCCATATCATTCTTTCTTTTCAATTCTTTCATTTAAAACAAATAACTTCTATAATTTGGTATTACCATTCTCAAATCAAAACCATACATTCCTCAAATTATTGTTCAAGATACATCCCACAAATTGTTACAAATTGTAAAGTCACAAATATTATACAAATTATACAAATATAATATTTTGTCCTTTTAGTCACAAATTATTACAAATTGTTCAAATACATTCCTAAAGTCCTAAAATTTATTTGTCTTCAAATTCTCTAAGTCCTTGTAGCAAGCCACGACTTCACCACCTCTCCAACGCTTTGACATATTCGCCCACTCCATATCGATCATACATGAAACAAAATCAAAGAAAAGTTAGTGATCAAGCAAATTCAAAAGGAACAAATTATAAACAAATTCAACTCATCATTAGGGTGGTTTCAAGAATCAGAAAAAGAGTTTGTTTTTATGTGTTAAAGCCTCAAACTTTCAGTTTTTATCATGGGTTAATTTCTATTGCAAATCACAGGACAAAACTTGGTTCACAATAAACAAATTCAAAGAATTCCAACCATATTTTCAGCCAATTAACAAAAGATTCAAATCAAGAATTCAAGCACAATAAAGGCCTCAAAACAGTGTCCTATCATTGGCCTAAAGATATGATTGCAAATCACAAAGACAAAATTTGGTTCACAAATGAAAGAGAAAAAGTCCAAACCAGAAACTTAAACTCAGCACCAATTTTCCACGTAACAAAAAATGTTACAAATCAAATTACAAAAGCCTCATTATTTTACAAACAGAATCGGATCCAATTCAATCACAGGCCAAGTCACATCTCTACTACAAATCAGAAGTTCAGTTGGTTCACAGTGAGATGAAATCCAAAGAGAAAAAGAACTCAGAAAAAGTATTCAGTACGACAAGCAACCATACAATAGATACAGTCCCAAAAGCAAGCAAAAGTCAGCATCCATCATAAATAAATAGCACATCCAGCATCACAAGCAATAAGGTACAGAGTCAGTAAACTAGCCTACTAAAAGTACCAAAGTGAGCTAGCGTCACAGAAACCAGACAGCAAAATTAACTTATCAAAGAACAATAAAGTTGATTTGTGAAAAATCAGTAAAAGTAACAAGTCAAAACTGAAGCATCCCAAAAAGCCAACAACAATCTATCACAGAAAATGAGCAAAAGCCAACTATAGTATAAAGAGGCAGTAATGTTGTTTTCAAGATAGAGGATTTTTTTTCACCATAAAAAATATACAGAGGCAAAAACCCAAAATAGAACAGCAACAACATCAAACCCTTTT